CGTTGCACAATTGCCCATGATTCAGCCGGTATATCTTTGAGATAAGGGCCAAGCACAGCATGATATCTTCAAATTATCAATAGATTCTCAGTTTACTGTATCGAAAATCGTTCGAAAGCTCAGTATAAACTAAGAGAAGTGGCGGACATCTTTTTGAATGACACCCCTTTTGCCTATTTCAATAATACGTGATCTTCTTTCTCTCTCTATTCTTTCCCTCCATCCTTGAAAACAGAAGAAAAAAAAAGATGATAAGAGCTGAAGGTTAATAGACATATGAAAAGATCGACTGTCCGGAACATTTATTCAAATCAACTATATATTTGTCCGTTACACTATTTAAAATTTGTTTTCAGTAAAAATAAGAGGTCAAATGGTGCAGATATTTAACTTTTCATTGGATATTACAATCCTCAATATAAAACTACGTAGTATCGTTGTCATAAAGCACTTACTCTTTCCAACGATGACCAATGAGAATTGGATTTGTAGCAGGTAATGGTTCGAACTGGAAAAAAAAAGCAATTTTCGATTTATCAATTTCTATAAAAGTATTACTTGAAACTCTGGAATGTGCGTGAATTTACTCTTGTACGTTGTCAGAATTTCATGCGCTTTTTGACAACGCTCAGGATACTTTTCCCATTCAACATACCTGACGAGAGTAAAGAAAAAAAAATGATATCAAAAAGTAATAAAGTTTATATATGTTCACCTACCCATGCCAACCGATTAGCTCTTCCGGAAAGAGTTCTGCTAACTTTGGATCCTTGTTAGTCAAAAGCGATTCTGTAGTTTTACTTGTGTTCGTTTCATCAACAGTAGGATTACCCATGCGCAATTCTTTTTTTAATACGTCAGTAAAATGCGTTGTCGCCGTTCGTGTAGTACTTTTATATTTTGAGGTAGAAGTAAGCAGTTATTTATATACGCATTGCCGTTATCTACAGCGCGCAACATTTTTCTTTTCTCTTATCTCTTTACATATAATTTCAACGCATATTCATTATACGAGTATGGTTGTGAACTCTCGATAGATAGTGGCTTGACTCTTCTAGTTCAGTGTGCGACAAACTACACTTGAAACTGTATATATTTGAAAAAGAAAAGAAGAAAAAAGAACTGACTCTTCAAAAAACAGAATACGAACATATATCGTTCATATCAGGAACAGAACAATAAAAAAAGAAAAAGAAAAGAAACAGTATGAAAAGATGTTATTACAGATAACATTCTTTCAAATGAAATAAAGAATAACGAAAAAGAAGTGAGAACAATGTGAACACTAACATTGGTAGTCAAAAAAAAACGTAGGTGTCGATATGGTTGGCTACTATTCATTCATAGACACTCATCTCTGTAGTGAAGTTCTTACAATCGACTAGACGATTAATATTCTTGTTCAAGAAACATAAATGAAATTAATGCTTCGTTTCTTTATTCTTCATATCTCTTTCTTTTCTTCTCATGATCAACAAAATTATAGACACTCACAAAAATCGTATAGAAAAAAACAATAACAACGACATATTTCGAGAGAAGATTCTTTACTGATAATCTTGAACATTATTGTTTAGATCTAATTAACGACTCTTCCAAGGATTTCATTTTGAAAAAAAGAACATGATTACATGGAATTGTTCGATTATGAATTTCAATTGAAAATATCTTTTTTTTTTAGACAAAAGACGTGACAAACAACTATAATTGTACTCAAACTTCGTGTTAATATTCAGACATGATTAAAATCAAAATAAAATATTAATTTCATTGATCAATAAATTATAGACATAATTAAAATATATTTTCTAGATAATCCATCTTGTCAGGCCTTTATTTTATCACATTCTTTTATGTTGTTTTTATTGAATGAGCATCATCAGATGGGTGTGGGTGTATGTGTGTAAGTGTGTAGTAAAGAAGAAACAGATTCACACTCACACCCACATCCACAAGATGGTTTTAGATACATAGTAATTTTTTATTATCAAAAGATTGTTCAAAAAATTAAAAAAATGTCACAGGCAAACGATGACAATCTAGCATTAAAGAACTTATTAATTCAAGTAAGCAAAAAAGCTACAATATTAATAACGTTTCTTCTATTAAAGCTTACAGCATCACTTGATAAATTGACCGCTGATTTACATACACAAAAATAGCTGATTACAATGAAGTTCCAAAATGAGTTGAAGTTACTACAAACAAATTCCAAAACCAAAGAGGGTGAAATAAATACAGAAATACATAGCATAAACCAAGATCTTCCCAGGAAGATGATTATAGAAGCAGTATTCTGTGAAATTCCGGCTGAAACTCGCAAGAAACATAACCTTTCCAGCCGGAACTAGTAGAGAAATGTCAGAAATTCAGCGGAGGAATCCGGTGAC